GGGGGAAGGGGGCAGCTCCGGGGGCAGAGCGTGAAATGCAGACCCCTGCCCGCCGCCGGCCCGGAGGGAGCCCGCTCTCACCTCGCTCTCTCTTCTCCCCGCAGGCTTCCTTTGGGAGTTCGAGCCCAGGTTCGTCCTCGCCCACCTCCTGCTCCGGCACCCGGCCTGCCGCCCGCACGCTGCTCTCTCCTTCCTACTCCTTCCCAATTTTACTCCCCTGTAGCTTTCCTAACGCTTCATCTGCAGACAGTTAACCGCCTGCCAGATTTTTAAGAGAAGGAGATGTGCGCTGTGGAGCCCTTCCCTTAACTCCGGTTGCAGTTAGTAATTGGCTGCTCGGAACCCAAAATGAAAACAAAGTTTTGTAGCGCTTTTAAGTCAGCATCTCAGTAAAGCCATGTAGCCTGGAGAGAGACTGCTTCTCTTGTTGCTGATAACTACAGGCTTGTGTAAATTTTTGACTTCTTGGTAATGACAGAAGATGTTTAAAATCATAATGATAAGTAATTTTTAAGGCTTTAACTGATGTTAATATTCTTCAGAATCCTTCACACAAGCAAGCGTAATTAACATCAGTAGCGCTTCTCTTGAAGAAGTCTTTGAGGAATGTATTTGCCTCTGTGTAACTGCCTTCTGTATGCTCTGTTTGTCATCATTTTTTAACTACTTTTACAAAATTTATTGAGCTTGTATTTTTGAATATGGTTTGAAATATTTTAAACAGGATATTGAGCATTCAGAGATACTAAAGAAGAGTGGAATAGAACTTCCGCTAGAGTTACTCAAACATAAAATGAGTTAGAACAGCGATTAGAAGCAATAATCTTGAGCACAAATATATGTAAATATATATTAGATTAAGACAGGTGACACTTCTTTAAAACTGGATGTGATGGCCAACAGCAGGAAAATTCAACATGAAATGTCGTTACTGTAATTGGAGTAGTGTTATCAGCTATACTGAAAGTTCTATGAGACCATAATATGAATGTGAATAAAAGGCATTTTTGGCCTGAATGGCTCTCTGCAATATGATATTATGAACTTTCACAGTATTGTCTTAAGCGAGCTAAACAGGCAAAGTTTACTTTAATTACCTGCGTATAATGAATGAACACTTAGCATAATTGCTGAAAAATTAGATGCTTTAAGACTCAGAAATGTTACTATATACAGTTGTCTCTTTCAAACCTGGAAGCAGTGCAAAGAGGGATACTGCTTTATTTTTTTGAAGAGGATTGAAAATTTGTAGCTATTTCTTTCAAAGATTCTGAAGAAGTTTTTACATAGAAATAATTCTTAGTGGACCTTTTCTTTGCTGCTTGTAAGCCAAGGATTGCAACAGAGCACCAGTATGTAAGAACTAGAAGGGGAAACCAGAAGTGAAAGAGAAATATCCTAATCTGTTTCTTCCCTCCATCCTGAAAGCTGTAAGAAAGTGAGCATTAAAGAACAAAACAACCCTGTAATGCAGTGATTTCCATTGTAGAACACTGTGCGGTGCAGAGTATTTGTATCTTTAAAACTTGTTGAATCTATTGATAACCTTTCTAACAGTTGACGAAATACACTTAATATAATAACAGTACTTCTTTGATGACTTATGAGTATCCTCTCGATTAATGAAAAAGTGTCTGTTGGACCACAGAGCTGTCACAATGGCTTGTTAATTAATGTGATCCATTAGAAGCGTTTTGTTATTTCCAGTATATTTTCCTCAATATTTCTTGAAACTCTGCTGTGTTCATTCTTCCTTTCTAGATCAAGTGCTAAGAATTAAATTGGTTTTAATAAAATATCCCTATGTGAGGCTAAACTAATCTGAAGTGAATCTCACTGTTTATTTTGCTGTTAGTAGGAAGCTGATTCATAACTTAAGTTAGCTGTTGACCAGTGAAAAACTATGCTTGTTACCACATAAATTGCATAAATAGAATCAGAGTCTATAAATCACAGTCTTGCAGCATCTGGAATCTTGTGACATCTGTGCTTGGTACCTTGATGATGATTTCAAGGATGTTTTGAACAATCTTTTATTCAGTAAAATACTGATTTGGGATTGTACTTTCTGAAACTTTTAGTAGTTTAGGTACTTCTCCCAAGTACTCTATACTGCAAGAGAGAAAACTGCGCCTGATAAAAAGAGAAAAAGAGAAGGTCAGCTAAACCAGCTGGATTTGTCGAGTAGTTAGGAATTTGTTCCAGTTATTCCATTGAGAGTTCTGACCTTGTATGTAAAAGAATTCATGCAACCATATTTTTTTCTGTGATGTAATTTCATATGTTGGTATAGAAAAAAAAAAAGACTCAAATTAGGTTTTTTTGATAGTTGGCTCTTTATCATCTGAGGATCATGACTTTGACCCATCCGCTGAAATGCTGGTACATGACTATGATGATGAGCGAACTCTCGAAGAAGAGGAAATGATGGAAGAAAGCAAAAATTTCAGCTCTGAGATTGAAGATTTAGAAAAGGTAAGAGTGACTCGCTCTCTCATAAATGTCCATACATGTTGTAACTTTTCTAGTGAAAAGAACACTCAACCTGTTCTTCAGTTTGTATTGTATAATGCAGTTTCCTGCAACATGCCTTTTTAAACAACAGGCTTGTTTAAACAAAGAAAAGAAAATCAAGTTTGGTTAGGATAGAGCAGTGCATCCTTACAAAAAGGCTGAACTTAGCTTCTCAAAGACATTAGTGTTATGTTAAGTTCATATTCTTCTTATTCATGTAGTAGTCCTGTCACTTTGGTAGAGAAATCACTGAAGCAGGTTTTACAGTCCTGTCATCTAATATCACTTAGCACTTCTAAGTTTTATAAATTGGATATAAGTTGAAGCTGTGCATTTTGCATACTGTTAAGTGACAGCTAGCTATATTTCAGTCTGTTGGTCAGGTTTTGCTTTTCCAATATGCAAACAAACAGTCCTTTTTTTGGTCACATTAATCTGCTATGTAAATGGTAGTTCTGCATTGTAGTTTCATCAGTTTGGCATTCGGTGTGTGTACAAAATGACCAGCATGCTCCTTGGCTTTTTCTATTCCATTTTAGACTTCTTAATTACATGTTTTTCCTATTTACGCCTCTTGTTCATCTGTGGCAGGGCATCACCCATTTTAAATGCCTGCTGAATGCGGAACACCCACAAGTTGATGGTGTTTGCATTACTGTTTGGTGACCCACTTACACCACTCAGCATAAGTGCAGATTGTGGTCAACGGAGTTCCAGAAAAGTGTAATTTTTAGCATCAAATATGAGGCCATGTTTTTGTAGTCCATGTAAAAACAAATTTTCTAAATGTTGAGTTGACAGTGTTTGTACTCGTGATTTTTTTTTTTTTTTTTGTCCTGCTACCTTGACAGTTATATTTTTGCTGGTTATGAACTTGCAATTATAATAGCAAAGCAGCTTGCCAGGTCTGGTGGTTAAAATGTTACTCCACAAAATTATGAGAGAGAGCCACTCATCTTACACACTTTATTACTTTAGGTCCCGATCCTGGAAAGACTTGGACATGAGTTTACATTTACCCATTGTGAAAAGTCTTTGCAGGACTAAGACCTTAGCTGACTAAACAAAACAAGTAATTTAATCAGTGTATGAGTTCAACAAGAAATTTTTAAAGGTAATATAACTTTTAAAGGTATAAATATTGGAAAATATTTTTAATATTTTGATGGCCTGAATCAGGTAACTAAAAAAATCTCCACTGTTTATTGTTTTATTAATTGTTTTAGGATGCAAGTATGATGATAGTTAGTAAAATCATTTGATCAAAAGCTGTTGGAAAAAAAGAAGTTATAAATCGAGCCTTCCTCTTGATTTTTGGCTTCTGTATCATTAGCTGTCTTTCTCCTATTACCTTCTCCATGGTAATTACAAAATATATTGTGCAGGAGATGGAAAGGAGGGCTTAAAAGTTGCTATGTTGGTTTACTTTTGTGGGTTTTTGCACATTTGCAGCTGTAACTGTGTAGGACTAAAGTGTTCAAGTTTTTCTGCATTTCTCTCTTGTAGAGGGGTTGTTAGTGGTTCTAGGATATCTTCTGTCTTGAAGAAATGTAGGCAAATCATGATCTACAGTATGAATCAGATAAGGAGGAAATTTTTAGTAATTACTCTTTAGTTTCATCCAGTAAACAGTTTTCTTCAACAGCTTGATGCAACTTCACTATATGCCAAGAGACATGGTTATGAATTATTTCAGTCCTGCGCCTGAAAATATTTTGAATTTTTAATCAAGATTTCTGCTTTCAGTTAAGTTTTTATTTGTTTTTTTACTTGTGTTCTTCAAAATATGTCTTATGCTTTTAGGCCTGAACTGTTTACAAGTATTTGGCAATATGTTGAAATGTTTGTAAATCCTCTTGTATTAGGAAGGAAACATGCCATTGGAAGATTTACTGGCATTCTATGGCTATGAACCCACGATTCCAGTTATGGCAGGTTCCAGTGCAGATAGCTCTCCAAGTGAACTTGCGGATGAACTTCCAGATATGACTCTAGATAAAGTAAGTCAGAACTGTTTTCCCCTGTGATATGGTTTAAACGCAGAAATCCAGGTGACCTTAAATTATATTTCACTATCTCTTGATGTTGCAAAATATGTATCTTTGTTAATTTCAATATACAATATTACTCTGAATTCATTCTTTTTCAAGGATATTGGGAATCTGATTCTAATTATAACTACCGCACTTACAAATGCATAGCAACTTTAGTGGCACTATATTACTACAAATGAGAAATGAATACGTTAACAGTTCTTCTAGAACACATCCAAAGAACTTTAAATAGGTGGGTTTTTTTTTTAATAGAAGTGGGATTTTTGATAATGTATGCAACGTCCAGAAATAATAATTCTGGCTTCCAACACCATTCGTCAAGTATGAAAACGTTTGTGGATAGCTTGAGAATGCACTCCTGAATGCTTTGGGATGTTGCTTTCAAATAGATATCACTTGGCAAGGTCTCACCTTTGGGGAGTGAGAGAGAGATTGTTTTATATGCAGTGACTATATGGGTTGCATTGCCGATGTAAAAACCTGAAACTCGAGGTTTTGTGATTTGCAAACTAACTTTGGATTCTGAGATTTTAATCTGATTTTTGGCTATAAGGCATATGCAGCTAGTAGTTTGGATTATAAAGTATGTGGGTAGTAAGTATATGTCTTTTTTGGTTTTGCCTTTTTTTTTTTTTTTTAAACTTTCTGTGAGTATGATGTAATGGTAAACTCCACAGAAAAGTAGGGTATAATGATGGCTCTGCACATCTGATTCTCATTAGGATCCACGATTGTGTCGAGGCTACAAAAATGTAGTCGGCTTGTTGTCTAATACAGTTCTTTCCCTTCCTAACCTCTATACAGAGGAGTTCAAACATGTCTGCTAGTGGAGGAAGTGTGCTTTTTCTTTCTTAATACCTTTTTTTTTAACCTACAGAAGCATCAATTTTTTTGCGTTTTGGGAAGATAACAGGTTGTCTATTATCTGTAACTGTCCTCTCAGCAAAAGTCTACAGAAGTGCCCGGCTGTTGTATTCCCCGCCCCGCCCCCCCCGACTTTAAGGGGTAACAGCCTTTTAAAGCTTCGTTATATCTGTGATGCAAAGAATGACAGAATTCTAAAGATTTGAGGCAATTTCCACTGGCATTTTTCATTGGAAGCCATTGGAGGAACATCTGAGATTGATGCATGCAGAAGTTACTTCTTGTGCGTTTGTTTTAATAGAAGACAAAGCGGAAATGAACCCCTGTGTTCAACTCTGAAATGAATGGTTGTATTTGTTCTTAGATTTAAGAGGAGCAAACTAGCTTTTTAATTAAGGGAGTATGGTCTGCTAAAAATAATTCATTTTAATTAATGAGACTTAGAATTTGCTGAATCTAAATGCTCACCAGTCTATACTTGATAGTCTGAGGTTTTATTTTTTTATTTTAATGATACAGGAGGAAATCGCTAAAGACCTCTTGTCAGGTGATGATGAAGAAACACAGTCCTCTGCTGATGACTTGACACCATCAGTTACTTCACATGAGGCTACTGACTTCTTTCCTCGGCCATTAAGATGTAGGAAACCTAATTTTATAATACTCAAAATGTCTTAGCATTACATATAGCTTCCTAGCTTAAAATATCAAAAATGCAGAATAGTGCTGACTTTACCAGGTATTGAGAAACAGTGCTTTGCAGGATCTTTTACATGAATGTTGTCTTTGGTTGGTATTACTGGTTACCTAAAAGACTTATATTTGGTACTGTGCTCAAAGCACAAGTAAAATTAATTTTTCTACAGATACAGTAACTTCATAATTAATAATTAATATGGTATTGAGGCACACCCTTCACAATTTTCAATGTTAGTGAATTACATGAATATGTAACCCATTCTTTTAAATTAGTGTTTCTCTACTAAAATTTTTGCTGCTGCCATTGACTCCTCCATGCAGCCTGTGGGTGTGAACTGGGACGCAGCTTCTTTGCGATTATTTCCCTTCGCACATTCAACACTTTTCCATGGGACTTCATGGGGTGAGCCAAAGTGGTTTTGTATGGGATGGGGCCTATGAACCCATAACCACCAAAATTTCACTACCCGTGGAGTTATTGTGGGAAAGATCTGAGAACCAGGGGTTCAGCTATCCAACCTGGACGAGATGTTTCTGCCTGTTGCAGCTCATTTGTTCATTGGTGTACTACAGTTAGAGTAACGTGGGGGATTTTTATCACAGTTTTTATTTGGCAGGTATCATAAGCTATTCCTGGGGGTTTTCATTCCTCTAGAGAAGGGGGGTGACAAAGGGGATGTGCTGCCTCAGTCATCAGGAATTGTAGCCCTTTGCATGCTGCTGATTGTGTAATATAAGACATTTGTCTTGAAAGAGTGATACAAAAACCTTAAAAATTATAATGCCCTTTTTTCAGGTAAGCAAACCCCAAACTTGCTGGCACTTAAATTTTGCTTGTGAACTGTTAATGAATATGACACTGAAAGTGTGGCAGCTTTATAGAAAAAAAGATTAGCCCCTTATCTTACTGAGGATTAAGAAACAGTCATCTTTGTTTTCAGCTATCATGGTTTTCTATCAGAATGTTACTTTCTCTATTAGAACTTTTGGCTGGATGTTTAAAATTGAATATCCACCATTTCAGGGAGGGAGATGTTAGTTCTCTCTGCTGTTGGCAGTTTCATCTTTTTTTTCTGATCTCTGTCCCTTTCTCAGATACTAAGATAACATTACGTTTTAAGATAAACATTTCTAATACATAATATAGGCTATTCTATTAAATTTGCATTAATTGGAAAAAATAATTGCCTATGATTATCCAGGCATGTTGTTATTTCATGCATTCAGGTTAGCTTCTTGCTTGCTACTTCTAACAACAAAAAGAGAGAGACTGGTGATTGTAGTAATGACTACAGAAGAGCCACCTCAGTCCGTACAACCTTGGATGTTGTCTCTGATGTTGACAATTCTGTTCAGTTGTGAAGAAGCTGAAATTGCAACCCTGTTTATGAGCGTGTTGTTTCTGAAGTTTGAGAATACAAAATAGCTTTAATCGCATCAGAACTGTAGATTCCATTCTGCTGGGGATTATACAGCTATAAAAATAGAATTACTTCAGAACCCAGTACCACAATGTTCCAGATTCTAAAATATGAGTTCTTCTATGGAGTACTGTATTTGAATTGCTTGGAGTGCTCTGCTGTATTTCTTCCTGAGGGGGGGAGATTAAAGAAGAATAAGCAGTCTTTGCTGTCTTTCGCTTATTTCATTTTGTATCTCTCTCCTGTATTTTCACTCCATGGTGAGGCAGCCTTGTTTAAAGGAATGTTTTGAATGCCAGTTAAAACTTATGATGAAAGGTTTTAGTAGGTAATAAAGACATGCCTTCAACTTTACTTTCTTTTTAACCTGATGTACTTTCTTTTTACTTTCTAATTAACCTGAGGATAAGTCATAGCCCTGGAAGTTTTCTGTTTTTCTCATACCTTTTCTGTAATGTATAAGTCTTCCATGGAGAAAATTGATGAAAAACTATGATCTCATTTCCTTTTGACTGTTAGAAATAGATTGTCTCCATTGCAGTGATGATAAATGTTTCAGTTATGCAGTATACAAGTACCAGTGCCTTCTGACTTCATGCTAGTTTGATAGAAACGTCGATTAACAGACTTCTAATAGAAGTGTAGATTAACAGACTCATAAGTGTCTCCCAGAGTAAAAGCAGGTGCTCCTTTCAAAAGTAAAGGATATCTTGTAGTTCTGTGCTTGAACTGAAAATTCTTCCTAGCTAAAACCAAACTTCTTTGTGTCTGAAGCAAACACTACATGTGATGGAGATAAGGAATCAGATGGTGAAGATGTAGAGGCCGACAATGGTAATGCATCTGAAGATTTGAGAAAGGTAATAATTATAGCTTAAAGAAAAGTTTAAAAAAACTTTACTGTTAATAAAAATGCATTAAGATTTATAGTACATATCTAAAATAGTACCTTAATTCTGGAATTCTCTGCCAAATGCCAGGTTAATGGCGTTTTTAATGCTTCCATACAAAAAATACTAAGTTAATGCCTTTCTCTTTTCATTTTTGTTACATCTTCAGGAAATAATGGTTGGTTCACAGTACCAGGCTGAAATTCCACCTTACCTTGGCAGATACAGCGATGATGAAAAGCGTAAGTTCTTCTGACTGTTCTACTTTTTATGTTATGTTTATACATGGCAGTTGATTTAAGTTTGTAAGGTAAATTCAATGTCTTCATTAAAGTTTCAGAGATCTTGAAAAAAAAAAAAAAAGCACTAGGAAACAGAAACAACCACATAATTATAACTCAGAAATGTGATTCTTCAACTTCGAGAGGACATTCTCAAGAAAATATAGGAGGCTGGATTACAGTGTTAATTCTGAAGTATCTGCTAATATTAGGAGGCAACAAACTGTGGGTCAAGAAGGAAGTATTTTCATATGAGCATCATAACTGGGCTATGAGCATGTAACTTAGTTTAGATTGAAGATCTTCAAAACAGTATTTTTCTTTGCTTGTTTTTTGGCAAGCACAACAGTGTGGGTTACAAAATGGATATGGAAGACAAAGCAATGAACTATTTTAAGTTTTCATAGCATGAGTAGAAGATGTAGGTCCTGCTACACTGTCTTTTAAAAAATATGATGTTTTAAGTATGATGTTATTCGAGTGGAAATTTAGGTTAAAAACTGCAATTATGCTAGAGTAGAAAAAACTTAATAGAGTTTTATTTGGTATCTTTAGACACCTTCACTATGAGAAAAGTATAGCACATATAGCTGTGGAATTCAAAAAGCAAATAATGAAAGAAATTTGCTCATGGGTGCAACAGCTGTGAAATTGAGGAACAGTTTGGAGGATATGCTAATAAATGAAGGGCATTCAGTGTTTTTTTGTAAATTTTCAATATTCTGTAAATTACGTGTGTTCGAACTGTAACATTTCATGGGAATATTATGCTGGTGAAGTGTGTCAAGTCTTTTCACCATTACCAACTGCTTTTTTTGAACAACGATCCTTTGCAATAGGGAAGAATAATGTTTGGTATGGATGGAGCTAGAAGCATTAGCAAGTGAACGTCTCTTGGGTTGCTTAAGAGACCTAGGGAAGTCTCCTGTTTTCTAAGATTCAAGTATGATGCTTATGGATTGTAAGAAATGGACGAGCAAGAACTGGATTTATCTGGATAGGCCTTTTACTGTTTACACACCTTGACTTCTCCTGAGCTGAGAACTAGAGAAGGGCCAATAACTAGAGGATGACCAGGGAGGGGTTAATCTGACAGCTTTCTCTGGAATGAGCTGGTGCTAGAGAGAACTAGTGAGAGTCTTGTCTGCTGGCATGGCTAAGTGCAAAGAGGTAGCATCCAGATCGTAGAGCCCGTCCAGATCGAGAGCCTGAGGAGATCCTCTTGAGATTATCAGTCATGGACTCCAGCAAGAAGTGCTGGCTTGTCTTGGTTGATAAAGGAGGTCGAAGCTGAGATCAGCAGTGCTCGAGAGGTTGGACCTGGCTGTAGGGGTGGAGGATTCTGTGAAAGCCTGTTCTGTACTCCCTGAAGAGCTTGTGATGGCAAACAGGGGCTTATATTTCTGCTTTGTAGTCGCAGCTACCAGAATTGTGCTAGAAGGCAGTTCTGCTCTTCTAAAAACCTTACACTTGTAACATGTCTGTTTGAAAGCTTTCCATGTTCTTAAGCTGTAACACAACTTTCAGAGAAGATGTAACTTTATTCCTCCCCTTAGCTTAATATTGTTTCCTTCAGTTTTATGAGAGATTTGAGAATCTTCATCTCTTCTACTGTAACAGCCATTATGTTTGAATTGAATAACTCTTAATTTTGTATCACCAAGAGAGAACGTGAAACATTATGTGCAATGTTAGTCACATGTATTGATCAGCGTAAAGGATTTATAGTTTAATGTAGAATGGAAACACGTGCACAGACTGACAAAGGTTCAGGCCAACTCTTGTGTATTTCCAATACATTGTCTTTCAAATAAGCTACTTAAGAGGTGCATACATGATTTCAGTGTACTATGAAAGAGGATTGTACATCCTGATTGGTTGTAAAGTATGCATTCTTAACAGCATTCAGTTATTAGTGAATGGAAAAATGAATTACCACATTGAGACCTAGACTTCTGTTAATTAATTTTTGGCAAATTTTATTTGAAAATGGCCAATTAGCCACCTCCTCTTTTTTTTTTTTTTTTTTTTTTT